CATTCTAGACGAGTGGCGGGTTCTATACATTCGGGTGACCGAGTAGCCTTTGTGGACCCTCGAGAATATACAGCTGAGTCTAGTCTCATACGAGTGCTTGCCGTCCCTCTCATCTGAATCTTCTTTTTATTTTATCGAAGCTTTGGGACAGGGCACTCGTGTTACTTTTAGACACTCATGTTACTTTTCCTTCCTTTCAAGATTTTCCCAGGAGTTTTGAGGATTTTCTTTTACTTGAGTCTTTTTCGTTGATTTTCTCGAGTTTTCCGCTTTTCCTCGGATTTCCTGGATGGTTTGCTTTTTGAGATGCATTTAGGCTTGCTATGCTTAAGGTACATTGGATCTCACAGACGTATATGTTTGCTTTACATTTTACAGCACTTAATTTTCTTGTTTCTACCTGCTACCGTACTGTAAAGGATGTTATATTTTTCCTGCTTCTACCTGCTGTTGTTCTTCTTGTATAGCATGTTATTAATTTTCCTGTTTCTACTTGCTACCGTACTGTAAAGCATGTTACACTGATTTGACACTATAACTAAAACTTAAACTCATCATGTCGGGGAGCTTGGAGCTAGCGCAGTGGACAGCACGACCATCTTCAACAGCAGAACATGTCTTCCCCAGTAAAATCATTCATCTTCCCAGAAATTAAACAACGATCCATAGGATTTCAAGGTTGTTCGTTTAGCGCAACATAAATCCTCCACCTTTTCTTTAGACATTCATATAGCTCTGCTGTACGATTTAAGCCCTAACTCGTTCTAGGTTCCGAAGTTGTCGTCCGATACAACGTAAACCCTCATATCTTCCAGGCGATTTGTGTGGCCATGTCACACAAATATAAGCCCTAATTAAATAAAATTGGCAGGATTAAACAGTAATTTCTTCTAGGATAGACCGGGAAGTCACTGAGGTTCTCCTCAGGATCTGTGACCTCTCCTAGTTTCTCTTCATTTGGATTCCTTAACATTGTTCCAGATTTGAGTCTTTCCCCCTTCACACCTCTTTGTCTGATTTCGTTGTAAAGTCTTATCCTTTTGACCTCTTTGAAGACATTATTCCTTGATTTTTATCGAGAGTTTTCTTAGGTGACTTCGGTCATTTAAGATGTAATTAACTATAGGGGCTTGCCCTTATAGGGAGCTTTTCCGAACCCAGCTTAAAATAAACCCTATTTAATTATTTGTATTAAATAGGGGAACTTGTCGGCAAATAAAAGTTTCGCAAACCAAACGGATGTCATATATTTCTTAGTTTATTTGATCGAGCCTCATCCTCAAGTCTTGTGTCTATCCCTCGGGATAGATACAGGATTTGAGGTAGAGCGCTCTCTCATTTAAACTGCGAAAAATATGAGGTAGTTTGATTTCATATTTTTCTAAAATTATATATATATATATATATGTGTGTGTGTGTGTGTGTGTGTGTGTGTAAATTAAACGTCCTTCCGAAGCGGGCGACGGGACTTCACTTCCAACGACCGACAGCTTCTTACGGGCAACCTCCCCAAACTTTTTAGTGCCGACAGTATTATCCCATCATAACAACGGTTAACAATGTAAACATTACAAATGTCTGAGATAAGTGGTCTACTTGCCCCTGATCGATATTATCTAATCAGCACAGTTGTTAGTGAACTAATAAACATAATTGTCTAGGGTGGTAGAAAAATTCTACTTGTGCTGGTACACTGACTTCTCTTTCCTGTACGATTAGGGGTGAAATTCTTTTTTGAACATGCACATGCAAGCATTCACATATAAGTTATTTCTTTCTTCATACATACATTATTCTGAGACATCTTTATGCATCTATTAACATTCATATTTATTCAGTTGTACAACTATTCATCAGACATATCTTTTATATCATTCATATATCTATTTCATGCATTTCTTTCTTATATCTATCTCATACATATCTTTTATTTTGTATCATGCATATCTTTTCTAGATGTCTATCTTATATGTAATCTCTATCTAAATATTATTCATCTCTTGCATTTATATCTTTCCTTACTATGCTTATCATGCATATCTTTTCTATCGAACAATATGAAGAATCTGCTATAATAGAAATCTAATTGAACTAAAAAATATATATAAATCAACATACATTTTGAACTAAAGAAAATTACTGAAATTTAGAAATGTAATTACTCAATTCAGTTGTCACGCTGAACTCTTTATTTTTTATTGCAAGTTGGATGTTGCGATGGCTTTTACATGGTGATTAAAAACTTATAAAACATATTATTAAAATTTAAGACTCAAGTAATTGTTTTTAATCAAAGTAATCTTCTTAACTTAGGATTAATTTACTTGAAATTTATGGAGTTGTTTTATGATGATTGCCTTGAGCTTGTCGCCTCAGGTAAATACCTGGAATCTTAAACGAATTAGGAATTCCTATATAAGTTCAATATGTAATTTAACACAAAATATCATTAATTAGCCAAAACATACCTACGACTTTCTCAGAGACCAGCCCTTCTCTGAAGCTGCCAAATTTACTTTATATCACTTCCAACTACACCTCCTACATTGATATCATGCTAGAACTCTTTTGGATGCTCACAAAAGACTTTCGACACGTTTGACACCCAATCGATGCCTCGGATGACTACTGAAAAGGAAAAAAATATATGAAAAATGAGGCAAAACTCAAAATGAAAGCAAGAGAGAGAAAATGAAACTTCAAATAGTATGAGATAGGGTTTCATATTCACTAAAAATACCTCAGAGCCCTAAAATGCAGATTGCAGCTTCCCTCAGCGCCGCTCGACCCATCTGCTATTTGCGACCCTTGCATTGTAGTAAGGGTTGCAATAACCTCGCTGCTTCTGTCGTGCCAGAAAGGAATAGGGCGGGGAGGGAGAAGGGTCGAGAGAGGAAATCAGAAACTTAGAGTGGATCGTTGCTTACCAGATGGCCGCTCGTCCCTTCGGATCGCATCTGCGCGATGAGCTGTGATCGAAGCCCCTTATAGGAGCTTATGTTGAGCTCGATCAAATAAGGAGGGAGGGAGGGTGTGCGAGTGAAACCGTGAAACCGAGGGGAAAGGGGGTATCTGGAGCGGGATTGAACAAAAGGAATAAAAGAGGCGTAAGTCGGTGGCTACACTGCTGAGGTTTAGGAAGTAATTAAGGTTAATTATATCAATTAAACTTATAACTTAAATATTTTACATTTCTCAAGCCATTCATAGTTTACACAGTACTTTATATGGAATTGATTGATTTTTCGTATAGAATTTTATAATATTATTTCGATTGAAATCCGAGGGATGCTAAAACTGGGGTACATTGTATGTCCCCAAAAAATTTATCAAATTTCTCAGAAATGGGTTATTACAATTTGCAAGTGATATTTTATTTTTCTTTGCAGGATTTGCTGGTTAAAGAGCTTAAATTCTCTCAAGAAAAGTTGCTTGATGAAGAAAAGCACAGGAAATCTCTTGAATTTGAAATCGTCAAATTGAATAAGCTTTTATCTGACAATAGAGTGGCCTTTGAGGTAACCTAATCTCAGTGTTTACATTATGCAGGTTATGTTGAATTTATTGCAGGCCTGAGCATTTTACATTTTTATAGGCTGAAATGTCCAAAGGAAGAGGCAACCATACTAAACCATCATTTGGATTAGAATTTGCTTCGAATCTATCCAAGCCAAGTAAACCAAGAGAGTCTGCACTTGGTCAAAAAGCCACCATTGCCAAAATTTTTGAGGAAGGCATGGCTGACTACAATTTGCACTATTTATTTGCATTGTCATGTAACTTCAACTGTTGTTTATTTTTTTGTTATTTTCCTTGGTGCATGTGATGTGCTACCATCAGTTGGCCTTTCAAAAATACTGTCTCTATTAAAGTCAGAAGATTTGGATGTGCAAACCCATGCTGTCAAGGTGGTTGCTAATCTTGCTGCCGAAGGTAGCAAATATCTTCTTTTTTTTCTGATTTAGTCTCTTTCATTACTTCTTTGGCACTTGTTTTATGTCATGCACTTTCACAATTTAAATGTATGTTTTATGTTTCTGTACTTCCTTATAATCACATGCCTTGCTGAAAAAATGAAAAAAGTTTCCTACATTGATATTAATTTTTTTATGTGAAAGGCTCACTTTTCTTTGCTTAGCTTCAGTCAATTTGTCAGGCAAGCTTTTTATACCTTTTTGTTTTTTACTACTTTATGTATTCTAGCAATTTAACTATTGGTTTTTCTTTTTCTATAGATATGTTAAGATTTTGATTGAGAATTTATTCAATTAGGGGATACAATACTTTAAATTTATGATTTAAATGAAAAATATAATTGTGATCCTGAGTTTGATTAGTCCAAATGATGTGCCTTTAGCAATATTGACACGTTCTAACAGTGGGTGGCTCATGAACTGAGACAATTGAATATGACACCGGATACCTTTGATATGACACTCTGAGGTTCAAGTAAACTCTACATCAGGTTGAGAATTTCATTTTGATAATGTCCAAGACCACCATAATCATCATCATAAAACTACTCGGCAATCATTTTATGAATTTTCTTTCTTCCTTATTTGTAGAGTGGTGTTTGCTTGTTAAATCTTATGCTGGTATCTTTTTACTGTTATTTTTGGTATTCTTTTCCTTTCTAATCTCTCACGTTATTTCTATGATGCCTTACTAGTGCATTTTTTGTAGTTGCATATGCTGAAACAACGAAAGTTTATTTTCTTATTTACTTTTCAGTTAGTTCTGCTCTTATATTTTCTTCCATTTAATTAGATCTAATTCTTTCTTTTTTGGCCTATCTATACATGCATTTTAGCGTTTTTTTTTTCAACGAATTCATTATTGTCCAATACATATATCCATATAAAATTGTTACTCTAATCTCATCTTGCATGTGATTATTATCTCGCTTCAGTATATGGCTTTTGAATTTTTTTTGATTGAGAATTCACTTTTTTCTAGTAATCATTAGATGTAGAATCTTTTGATTGAGAAAAATCCTTTTGTTGATATTATCATTTGGGACAAAATTTTCAATAATCATATACCTTTGAGATTTTGATTAATTATATCTCTTTGCCTTTTAGTTTTATTATAATAAAGCTATTCATTTAAAAAAAGAGTGAAGCACACCCAGCTCTTCAATTTCAAGGAGAACATTAGAAGCAATAATTCCGAAGGGGACGTAATCAGTAATAATGAGAGTGTGCTTGGGGACCAGACAAGCTACTAGGGAAGGCTTTGATGCGTTGATATGATCCAAAATTATTGTTTTGAGTTAAAGTCAAGTTAGAAGAAGCTAGGACTCTCACCATTTAACATTACGTGGGGGATATTATCCGATAATTATTCCTCATTGACACATTAGTTATTGGTGTGCTTTTGAATCATTTTGAGAAGTTATGACCAAACTCGTTACAAGAAGAGCGTTAAGAGTGAATAGTTTCAAAATTCACTTTTTTCTAGTAATCATTAGATGTAGAATCGATGCGAATTCTTGCTGAAGAGAAGAATAACATTTAATTTAGTAAGAATTTTATCATTGATTGTCCATAAAGCCGAGCAGTAGTTGACTTTACATGCAGTAGTTTATTATATAATTGAGCCAAGTTTGAGCAAAATTGATTGATTAAATAAGTGAATCATAAATGTGGGAAAACAATCCTAACAATAATGACTATGGGTTCCTGAACGTAGTAAGATTGGGGTCTCGTTTGAGCATATGAATTGCCTATCAACATAATACGTTCTCTGAGAGAACATTCTTGAGTATTCAGATTATTGGAAAAACTTGATTAGGGCATGATGAGAATCAATGTTTCACATTGTAATCATGAATCAAATGTGGATCGTTTATGGAACTACTCATAAGCATCATTCTTAACGGCCCCAGGAAAAATTACCAATGAGAGGGACCGGAAAACGTGAGGTTAACTCAGTGATCTCCTCATAAGATAGAATGTGTGTCAGTTTGTCTTGAAAGGTGAAAGGCAAATTGTAAGGTGAAAATGCAGGTTTGTGTTGAAAATGAAAGAAGCGGGTAGAATAGCGCCCCCACCCGCCCAGGTTGCGAACCTGCATTCCTTACTTCCATATTCCACCTTTATTTCGCTTCATTCCTTGCCACAACCAAATATAGGGTAATATAAAGGAATTGCTTAAATTTGAATTAATTACATATAGATGTAATTATAAATTTTGCTTACCCATATACTCGCATCCAACTACTTCAGCTCAACTCCTAACATCCTTAAATTAATCACTGCACCAAATTAATCAGCTTAGCTACAGTTCACAGTAACAAACAGTAGGAGAGAACTATTAAAAAAATAGATAATTAAAGTACTTAAAAAGAATATTACCTACGTTATTTTAGTACTTCCAAAACTTCTTCTAAAACAATACTATTCTCTCCATAACTGACCACCGAGCTGAAATCCACGACAATATAGTGAAAATGAAAAGATTAATTGTTTTAATGACATTAGGTTCAAATATATATATGTAATTTCATTTATGTACAATTATTTTTACCTCTAATACCTCAGAGTTCCACTCCAGCTATTACCCGAGGGCAGCATTGAGAGCAGCAAAGCTCTTGGTTCGCAGCTGCGCTCCCAGCTTTGCTCGTGTAAATCCTCCAGGTTACGAACTGCACAATGTTGGGAGAGGGGAAAATATGATACTTTGAGCATAAGGTAAATATGCGTTCTTATATGCATTGTAAATTAGTTTAATTTAAATCAATCTCCACCATCCATTTAATCCAACGCTATATGCCAAGGCAAACGGGTTTGCTATAGTGCCATAATTAAGAGGGAATTAACTTTAATTAATAATATTAATTAAGTAATTAGTACTTAATTTTATTCGTATTATTATTTATTTGTTATGCAACCAAATATATCAATAATTGACCTATACTTTTATATATCAACATAATGTTACGATCCGGTCCGGAGCTTAGAATTAACTAAGGGGGGAATAGAAAGTCGGACGATGATAATCATACTTTTTTACTTCTCATTTTCTATAACTAATAGTTTGTAATCCAAAAGAAATGAAAGAATCACTAAATAAAGTAAATTAAAGTAATACAATTAAGTTTACTTCATTTCTGGTTGTCAACATTTTTTATAAATAGTTCATTTATTATTCATCTTTTAATCAAATGCTTAACCTTGAAATTTTTTATCTAAAACAACAGTGAGCTATAAAAGCTAGTGAACATCTACTTCTAAACTACAGTAATGTAACGAAAAAGAAATAATAATATTCATGCTAGTCAGAAATACTACAAATCAATAAAAAACACAATTTATTTTTTCTAATATGATCGTTCATGATAGTTCATAACATTCAATGTGTTTCACTGTATTAATAACATGTCTATCATTATATATTTGTGCAGTCATCACAGGAGCACCATATAAAATTATACAAATTAAGACACGCCAATATCAATAACTTACTTTAATTACGTGCACGGGTATCTTAATGTTCCTTTACTGATACCATAAATGGATGAACTTCATTATAACTAAACATGAACATACAGTCAATATATGCAATTTATATTATTCATATGTTATTTTCTTTCAAATTTATCTTTAAATAACACATAACTTTAGTGTTTCTAAAATATATATTCTATCATAATAATACATCCACATTTAAAAGAGTAAATTAATCACACTAAAATGATGCAATTAGGTTTTAGTAAAAATTATGAATTAATTTTAGAAGAAATAAAAGCTACTATTGTCACACCCCAACTAACCCAACTTTAGGGTCAACCACGGGATGGACGATCTGACCAGATTAAATTTTTATCAGCACTCTTCATGACTTGCATAATTAGGAGTTAGTTTGTGAGGAACTAGTATAACCATGCATAATACATTTTATTTTTTTTATATATTCGAAGGCGCGAAAAAATCATATCACCAAAACATATATATCTTCAAAGTTGTTAGATCCAATATATGATAAAAGCACGTACCTCAAAAGTGGAAAAATTTCAAAATTAGATAATGCAAAAATTGTACATGCCACACATGGCTACTTGTTCCAGTGCTTCTTACTGATTCTTGAAAGTCAACAACGTAGAGTGAACTATTGAAAGTCTAGCGAAATAATCAAAGCTAAAAAAGATTTTATTGACAGAAAAGAAACGTGCATGACTTTTTGTAGCTCATGTATATGTTCACAACACTTGTCATGATATAATCTTAAAAAACATGTAAAAGAAAAGACATGCAATCGACAAAATCCTTACATTTATATAAAACATGTATTTCATAGGCATATCACAACAATTACAGG